TGAGCCCAGGAGTTGGAGGTTGCTGTGAGCTGTGATGCCATGGCACTCTACCCAGGGGGACAGCTTGAGGCCCTGTCTCAAAAAAAAAAAAAAAAAAGAAAGAAATATGAAAAGGAATTCTTGGTGGCAAATGGGGGACTACTAAATTCACCAGAAAACTCAGTTTTTCCAAATATCCTTTTCATCTGGTCATAGAAACTTTAAGGTAGGAAGGAACTTTAACATTTGACTTTAGAAGAGTTTTCAAAAATAGGAATAGAAACAAAAAGGAATTTCTGGGGGTGAATTCTAAGCTCACCAGAAAACTCAGTTCCTCAGAATATACCATTTATGGACTCATAGAAACTTAAGGGTAGGAAGGATATTTAAGATTATTTAGTTCTATGGTTCCCACGCTTGGCTAAAAGTGGAAACACCTGGGGAATTTTTGAAACATTCTGATGTCTGAGTTCTCATTCAAGTGTTCTAAGGATGGGCCCAAGAATTGGTATTTTTAAAAAATTCCTGTCTGGGTGTGGTGGCTCATGCCTGTAATCCTTGCACTCTGGGAGGCTGAGGCAGGAGGAACACTTTGAGTTCAGTAGCAAGAAACCCCATCTCTATTAAAAATAGAAAAACAATTAGCCACACAGGCCTATAGGACCAGCTACTCAGGAGGCTGCAGCAGGAGATTTGCTTGAGCCCAGGAGTCTGAGGCGGCAACGTTGCAACCAGTCGTGGTAACACCACTGCACTCTAGCCAGGGTGACAAGTGGGACTCTGTCTCAAAAAAAAAAAATTCTTCTCCTGATTCTAATGCACAGCCTGAATTGAGAACTACAGATCTGGTCAAAACCCCTCCTTTTACTGTAAACCATGGAAGCTCAGAGATGGGTAGTTTTCCCAGGGACACTCAGTTCCTCAGCAGCTGTACAGATTCTGCCTCACATCCTGGGCTTCTGGCCAGGGCAGGGGGGGAAACCCCTGAGTCCTTAATGTTTCAGAGCTGCAGTCCTGGAGCCCAGGCAGTCTCCCAGTCTGTGTCCCGTTTGTTGGCTATGTTCCTGACGGCTCATGTTCCAGCTAAGCATAAAGATGCCTCTCATGACAACCCTGTCGTCACTGCCTCCGCACTGTGCTCCTGGCATTTCCAAAGAGAACTGTCTCAGAGGGCCTCTGGTGCCTATCTGGTTTTCCATGCTTCTTGCCATAGATTGTAATTGTATGATCTGTTTGTCCCTGATGTCCCTTCATAGAACTGGAGACACTGGTAAGAGATCAACAAACGACTGTCCTCAACTTTGAACTTTAACGTTAAAAATGTGAACAGCCAGGCCCAGTGGCTCGTGCCTATAATCCAAGTGTTTTGAGAGGCCAAGGAGGGAGGATCTTTGAGACCAGCCTGGGCAACAGTGAGTCCCCTGTCTTAACAAAACGTTTAAAACTTAGCCAGCTGTGGTGGCACCTGTAGTCCTAACTACTTACTTGGGCCCAGGAATTCCAGGTTACAGTGATACACTGTGCTCCAGCCTGGGGAACAGAGTGACACCCTATCTCTGAAAAAAAGAGAACAGAAGGTAGAAGAGGAGAACGAGAGGCACACTCACATTGTGGAGTGTCTCCAGGTGGCCGAGTACTTACAGGTTTGTTTATCCTGTGCACAACACTCCAGGGAAATATCATTAGCCTATTTGACAGAAGGGGAAAGGTGGCTCTGAGAAGTTAGGTGAAGGTCACACAGCTAGGAAATGGCTGAGTCAGGAGTACACTTCTAGGGCAGTGCCTGTGGCTCAAAGGAATAGGGCGCCGTCCCCATATGCCGGAGGTGGCAGGCTCAAACCCAGCCAGCCCCGGCCGATAAAAAAGGAGTCCTCTTCTACAGAGTGTATTCCATGGGGTTAGTGGCAGGGCAGAGGGTGATAAGGAGGGGGCAGGTCGCAAAAGCATGAAAACAACAGCTCAGAGAGCCTTGCCTTAGCTTAAGGAGCCAGTGAACAGCCTTGGGAGTTACTGTTCAAGCCTGTTCTCATAACCACCCTCTGAATGAGACCTCTCTTGGCAAAAGAGAGTTGACCTGAGTTTGATAAATATTGACCCCTGCTATGTGTGGTGTACACACACGTAACTCTTATCCTAGATGTGTGAGGGAATAAACACACTCTATGTTACTGAACTAAGTGTTCTGAACTACCTGCGTGCTCTTTATTACTACGTTTCATTAAGAGAGAATTGCGAGGCTTGGTGCCCGTAGCACAGTGGTTACAGCGCTGGCCATACGCACCCGAGGCTGGTGGGTTTCAACCAGCCCGGGCCAGCTGAACAACAATGACAACTGCAACAACAATAACAACAAAAAAGAAACAGCCAGGTGTCATGGCGGGCACATGTAGTCCCAGCTATTTGGGAGGCTGAGGCAAAAAAATCACTTGGCCCTGGGGGTTTGAGGTCACACCACAGCACTCTACTAAGGGTAACATAGTGAGAGATTCTGTCTCCAAAAAAAAAAAAAACCACAGAAAATTGCAAGCCGGGCAAGGTGGCTCATGCCTATCATCCTAAGCACTCTCCTAGCTGGGTGTTGTGGTGGGCACCTGTAGTCCCAGCTACTCAGGAGGCTGAGATAAGAGGATTACTTGAGCCCAGAAGTTGGAGGTTGCTGTGAGCTATGATGGTGAGACTCTGTCTCAAAAATAAAAAAAAAAGAGAGAGAGAGAATTGTATCTGACCCTTTTTTGGGCAGGGTATGCCTATATTAGTCAGGGTCTTAGCTGCAAGCAGCATAACCAGCCCTAGACAATTTATGCAGAAAATATATTATTAAAGGATATTTAAGAGTTCACTGAATCTCAGCTGGAAGCCACCCAGGCAGGATCAAGGCAGCCTGTGGGCCTCCAGTGGGGCCTCCTACCACCCTCCCCCTCCCCCGCCTCCCGGTGGGCACATTATCTGTCACTCACACCTCTGACACTGAATACCAGGCACTCAGTCCAACTCTGCAAAACCCCCAGGCCTGCGCTGTCCCCTAGCTGGGAAACAATTGCTCTGGGTACTAGCTTCCCAACTGGGTGTGCCCAAGGGGCAGATCCTTGCTGCAAGAAAAGTTAGAAGGACAAGTTACTGACTTGTGTCTCTGGGAGGCAGAACTTGCAATGTAGAAAAGCCCCTAATTATGGGAAGAGAATGCAAAAGATCACTGGGGGCCACAGGTGTCTACAAATACAGCACTGTGGTAACAATTGACCCAAGAAAATCTCCTAGTTTCTGGATTTTCTTTGCATTCATTTTTCTGATGTGTTTGTTTTGTTAGTCACAGGTCTAGTCTTCTCTCACCTCTAGTCTGTTACCACTTGGCATTCTAAAGCTTAGTCTGAATATGAAAAGAATCTTTAAAATCCTTGAATTGTAGTCCTAAAGTGAACCTTTGAGGAAGGGAGTATAATAATGCAATAGGTGATGAAATAGGGCCCAGAAATGTGAGATTTGGTCATAGCTACTATGAGGATTAGGATTTCCAAGAATGGGCTTTGCAGAGTATTAATAGGTGGTGGACCAGAGTAGGAAGGGCAGGG